CGCTTGAAATCCGTCACGGATGGACAAAGTTTAAGTTCAGGCTGCAACTCATTCCACAGAGAGGTCGCTCTATATTGAAAAGTNTTCCCAGCAAGTTCCATGCCAATGCTTAAGAATCCCAGCCAGCGCACTAAGCCCTGCGGAGCGGATATTTCGTATATCGGCTCCGGTGAGCACTCCTGAATAAGGCCACAGTGTCTGTAAGCCCCAAAATATTGCAATTTGTTCTTTGAAGTGAAATGTTCTCTGCCAAATGTTGTTTAAGTGGACCTATTACAGTGTGTTTACTGAAACCGAGGCCACCCAGACAATGAAAACCAATCAGATGGCAGAAATGGAACAACAGATTCCAACATTTTCAAATCCAGCCAATCAAATGTCCTATTTTATTGTTAAATCCAGCCAATCAAATGTCCGGTACAAAACAATGAAATCTCAACTAGTTCGTTGTGATGCTAGCGCAATTATGGTGTCGCTCAATAAATTGTCAAGCTCAAGCCGTTAGTAGTTTCGCCTGCTTGCGGCCGTGCTTGCGGGTTTAAGAGAAATTATATGCTGCACTTTCTATGGGGTCGTTGGTTCGTTAGAAAATACATGAAAAGAAAAGCTGCGTAAGAGTGTCACTCATACATACTTTATTGGCTCGTCCCCGTGGGGCTTTTCAGAGTCAATGTTACATTACAAAATTTAAAAACGCAGAAAGCCAAACACATAACGATAACTTAAAAAGAAGACAAATGTTGAATAAAAATTAAATAAAACAGTCATTAAGAAGCTTACGCCTGAGTAGGCGCTTGAAATCCGTCACGGATGGACAAAGTTTAAGTTCAGGCTGCAACTCATTCCACAGAGAGGTCGCTCTATACTGAAAAGTCCTTTGACCGCTAGCTAGCAGTGCGGAAGAGTGGTATGTTCAACTACGGTGGTTCATAGGAACAAAACACTTCCATAGGGACAAAACACTTCCACAAATCACAAAACACTTCCACAAATCGCAAAACACTTCCACAAATCACAAAACACTTTCTCGGATGGAAAACAGTTNGCGATGATCATACTTCACTTTCATCTACTACCGCAGTTCAAATATGAATTATTTCATATATACTTCACGACCTACAAAGTATTGGCGGACCTACAAAGAAAATGGACACGTTTGGTAAAAGAAACTTTGAACGTATTTATTAGATTGAATTTTGAACACTACTCTTACAATACAATATTTTTCATTCTACATTAAGATACACGGGAAAACTCTACTTACATTAATTTTTTCATACATACATACTTTATTGGCTCGTCCCCACGGGGCTTTTCAGAGTCAATGTTACATTACAAAATTTAAAAACGCAGAAAGCCAAACACATAACAATGATAACTTAAAAAGAAGCCAAATGTTGAATAAAAATTAAATAAAACAGTCATTAAGAAGCTTACGCCTGAGTAGGCGCTTGAAATACGTCACGGATGGACAAAGTTTAAGTTCAGGCTGCAACTCATTCCACGGAGAGGTTGCTCTATATTGAAAAGTCCTTTGACCGCTAATAGTGCGGAAGAGTGGTATGTTCAAAAGTTGACAGTTCCTGGTAGTCCTTAGGGAGTTTTAGCAATGACGACGGCGACGGCGGGGACGAAGCCTTGTAAAAAACGTATTTTTATTTTACCTTCGAATGTCGCAGCTGCGTAAATCTGTTCAGGGCGCCTATCGGTCTAAAAGTCGAAAAGAAGATACCAAAAATTAGCCATTGCGGTTCGCGTTCCCCAAAATACGTAGAACTTAGTCATTTCACGTTGTTGTTTTGTAGAGGACAGCAAAGAAATGTACCAAGATTCAAACCGCACGTGCAGAACCATTGTTCTGCTAATTAAACCTTTTGTTTGGGGATGCTCTCGTCGCCGTCGCCGTCGTAGATTGCTAAAACTCCCTCTTATCGAGACGGCGGATCTTTTGACGAGCTTAGATGTCAAATACTCAGGAGCACATCCCGTCATGCACTTAAAAACCAGAACAGCAAAACGGAAATAACATTACGTTGCATTACTTACATTACGCTGCTTACACTACTCTTACCGTACAATATTTACACTACTTAAATTGTTACACTTACACCACTTACAATGCAATACTTACATTACTTACATTAAGGGCCTCTTCATGTGAGCTCGGTCAACCGGGTTGGCTCGGTTTCCGAGATCTCGCCTCGCCACTCTTTCCCTCATAAAAATTTCGATGTGTTCATATGTGTACAAGATTTCTCTCACTGGACTGTATTTTCCTTAAGATTCCGTAGGCTCTACTTCTAGATTACAGCTGTCTCAGAAGAGTATTACACGGATTTCCTCTGATTCGCTCGGTACAAAATTTCAAAATGGCTTCTCCAGTTAAACAACATTCACGTGTTCCCAAAGGCACCTTCAGCCTTAAACAAGGACGTCATCGCGTACACATATGAGAAGCCGGGCTGGCGGGTAACCGGGACGAAACGTTTTAGACAAAATAGCTTCGCTTTCGCAACATAGCGGCCAAAATGGCATAATTTTTGTCTTGCATGTATTTCCACTTTAGGAGTATGCGAATTAGCTTTATTAGTAAAGTTACAAGAGTCCACAAAGCTACGACAGCCGCCAACGATACAAGTTTATGTTCCACCATTTTGGCTGTGCTCCTTGAATTTCATCCCGGTCGACCGGGCTGAAATTTCCCATATGAACAGACAATAAAATTCATCCCGGTAACCGAGCCAGGCCGGTTACCGGGCTCATATGAAGAGGCCCTAAGGTACTTACACGGAAAACCTGTACTAACATTACGTTACATCACTTAACTTACACTACTCTTACTATACAATATTTACACTACTTACATCTGCTTATTAGTTGGTAATGGTCCCAAATGACTGGGTCCTTACAAATGAGCTCGTTGTATGCCCCCATTTGAAGTGTGGCTAGAATCAAAAAACTAATGCAGATTTTCACAATCCTTAATCTTAAAGTTTTACCCAACTGCCTGTAACACCGTTTAAAATCGCGCGGGCAGCCAAGAGTTTTCGCCTCCCATGATATGAATATTACTAGATTTGTTGTTCAGCTGCATTAGTAGTCTTAGTTGTTTGATGTAATTTATTTTTAATTTGCAACGTTACTTTAAGATACATTGCGTACAGGCACTACTTACTAACATTACACTACTAACGTTACATTCGCTATATTACACGACAGAAAAAAAAAATTACAATATATTACAATACTTTACTCACAACACACTTTGGTTATTTACTTTCGAATGAGCGGTTTTCACTTAAGTGTCGCCAAGTTACTGGTTTTGCATTACTACGCGACACAATTGGCTCAAAACACTTACGTCACCATAAAACCAAAACCAATCATGACTCACTTGCACACGTTTTCCCGCGCTTCGCGTCAGCTAAAAGAATTCACTTCGAGCTTTGATTGGTGCACTGGATTGTCTGCAATCCCTTTTTTTTGTGATTGGCCAGAGTGGTTACTTTGGTTTTGGTTTTACGACACTCAGTTGAAAACCGCTCATTTACACGGAAAATTCCTCGTAGCCAGGTTAATCTTAAAGATTTAATCATAGTTTCGAGATCGATAATTTTACATTGTAACACACATTTTTCGTATTCGTTAAATATCTCATAAAGGAGGCAGTAGGTCAGGTAAATGTACTTCGCATGGCAGCACGTGACAAACACTCCAGGCGCGGCTACACCAGGCGTTAATTCCACTTCTTTTGTTTACTGTGATAATGGTGATAGAGGCCTGGGTACTTGATTCGTTCCACTTCCAACTTGGCGTTAAAAACACGATCCAGTAGATCCCAGTCCTCCCCACCCCATTTGTATTTGAATTTCTCAGTGTCCATTCCTTTGGACAAACAGTGCAAAAATTAATCAGAGTTGTATAACTGAATGTTAAACATAATCAAAGAAAAATCCAGAATACCAACAATAGTTTTCATTTCACGTCATATAACGCCATAATTAACAAAAATGGTATCACCTTGTAGAGCAAGCTCAGCGCCATCTTATCTGTGTAAATTTATTTCTTTGTACCTGAACAGAACGAAAACCCAGGAAAGGGGTTATACATCAACACCCCTCCCCCCCTTGTGCTACGGTGGGGGTATGAATTGGGTTAATTCGCTCTTTAAAGACGGCTTTAATTACCGCTCCCAAGAGATTGAAGCTCTCTGGACGACATTGTAAACTGCTGAACTATCAGACTGGAACTTGGGAAGTGCTAAGATCGACGACGAGGACCCCATCTGAGATCTTACAGCTCAGGTACAGCTCAGCTTTTATTATTACAGCTCAGGTCAGCTCAACTTTTATTATTCTATAATAAAATTGATGATGTTAAAAAGGTTTTATCCCCTTCTGTTTTCCTGTTGTACTTGGGGCAGCGTAGTGTTATGTGATCATAATGGTTTTGCATTGCGGTAATATTGCAGTTCCATCTTTGTCCGGCATCAGGACCATTAATTAAGTTGTTCTGCTTATCAAATCGGGAAATTAATTGAATTCCACTTACCACCAACCTTTCTCCAATCAGACTTGTATATACTGAGCAAGCCAAACCCTTCAAGTTCCCAGAAGCCTCTGTGATCCGTAGACGAGCCGTCACAGTGTAAACGACCAACCATAGGGAAAAAGGCAATCCGTCCCTCAACGGTATTCTGAAAAATAAATAGAAACAAATAACGCACAAAGTTGAGCATGTAGTAGTGGTACAACGAGTTCGAGTCAAGCTTAAAAGCTAAAACTACTACGATGGTTGAACTCTTGCGTTTTGTTCACGATTCTGTCTATAGAGCTGCTGTCACCACATTGGGGATACAAAAATATACACTGGCACGACAGAGTATGGTTAAAGATAGGATACAGCAACCACAAACATTCTTTAGATCACCGAAAATACCGACAGGACACCATTAGTCTGCGTAGCGGTCGTTTTCTTTCCAGGGGAGTGAGAGGTGAACAAAACGCTCGGAGGCACGAGAAGGTGTAAGGCACCCTAAATCTTTGCCTGGCTCGAGTCCTGGCTCGAAGCCTGGCTCGAGTCCTAGCTCGAGACCCAGTTCAAGTCCCAGCTCAAGTCCCAGCTCGAGTCAAAGCTCAAGTCCCAGCTCGAGTCTCAGCTCGGGTGCCAGTTCGAATCCCAGTTTGAGTCCTAGTTTGAGTCCCAGTTCAGGTCCCAGCCATAGTCCCAGATGTAGTGCAAGCTCTTGTCCTAGCTCGAGTCCCAGCTCAAATCCCAGTTCGAGTCCCAGCTGGAGACCCAGCTCAAATCCCAGCTCGAGACCCAGCTCTAGTCCCAGCCATAGTCCCAGATGTAGTGCAAGCTCTTGTCCCAGCTCGAGTCCCAACTCAAGTCCCAGTTCGAGTCCCAGCTCGAAACCCAACTCCAATCTCAGCTCGAGACCCAGCTCTAGTCCCAGCTTTAGTCCCAGCTCGAGACCCAGTTCAAGTGCCAGCTCAAGTCCCAGGCCGAATTCCAGCTCGGGTCCCAGTTCGAATCCCACTTTTAGTCTAAGTTCAGGTCCTAGCCATAGTCCCAGATCCAGTGTAATCTCTTGTCCCAGCTCGAGTACTAGCTCTAGTCCCAGTTCTAATCCCAGTTCGAGTTCCAGTTTGAGTCCCAGTTCAGGTGCCAGCCAGAGTCCCAGATCTAGTGCAAGCTCTTGTCCTAGCTCGAGTCGGGGTTCTGGTGCGAGCTCTAGTGCCAGCTCGAGACTCAGCTCTGGTCCCAGCTCAAATCCCAGCTCGAGGTCCAGTTCGAATCCAAGTTTCAGTCTCAGTTTGAGTTCCAGCTTAGGTCCCAGCTTAGGTCCCAGCTCTTGTTCCACGATGAATTCCCGGTTTAGTCCCAGTTGGAGTCCAAACTCAAGTCCCAGCTGTAGTCTCAGCTCGAGTCCCAGCTCTAGTCCCAGTTCGTGTCCCAGTTCGAAACCCAGCTCAAGTCCCAGTTCGAAACCTAGTCAAGTTTCAGCTCAAGACCCAAGTCGTGTCAGTTCGAGACCCAGTTCGAGACCCAGCTCGAGACCCAGTTCGAAACCCAGTTCAAGACCCAGCTCGAGACCCAGTTCGAGGCCCAGTTCGAGTGCCAGTTCGAGACCCAGTACGAGACCCAGTTCAAGACCCAGCTCGAGCCCTAGGTCGAGACCAAGCTCGAGACCCAGTTCGAGTCCCAGTTCAAATTGCCACTCTAGTTCCAGTTCATGTCCCAGCTCTGATCCCAGTTCGAGTCCCAGCTTGAGTCCCAGCTTTGGTACCAGCTCTAGTCTCAGTTCGAGTTCCAGTTCTAGTCCCAGCTCAAGTCCCAGTTTGAGTCCCAGTCCAAGTCCCACCTCTGGTCCCAGCTCTAGTTCCTGTTTGAGTCCCAGCTCTAATTCCAGTCTAAGTCTCAGCTCTAATTCCAGTTCGAGTCCCAGCTGGAGTCCCAGTTGGAGTCCTAGCCCGAGACCCAGCTCTAGTATAAGCTTCTGGTCCCAGTTTTAGTTCCAGTTTGAGTCCCAGTTGGAGTTCCAACTCTAGTCCCCGCTCGAGTCCCAGCTCGAGACCCAGCTCTAGTATACGTTCTGGTCCAAGTTTGAGTCGTAATGCGAGTCCTAGCTCTAGTCCCATCTCGAATCCCAGCTCGTCCCAGTTCGAGTACCAGTTCTAGTCCCAGCTTGAGTCCCAGTTTGAGTCCCAACTCTAGTCCCCGTTCGAGTGCTAGCTCAAGTCCTAGGTCGAGACCAAACTCTAGTATAAGGTATGGTCCTAGTCTCCCAGCTCTAGTCCTAGCTGTAGTACCAGCTCGAGTCCCAGCCGAGTCCCAGTTGAAGACCCAGTTCGAGCCCCGGCTCAAGTCCCAACTCAAGTCCCAGTTCGAGTTTTAGCCCGAGACCCAACTCTAGTATAAGCTCTGGTCACTTTGAGTCCCAGCTTGAGTGCCAGCTCTAATCCCAGTTCGACTCATAGCTCGAGCCCCAGCTCCAGCCCCAGCTATAGTATAAGCTCAGGTTTCAGCCCTAATTCGAGTCCCAGCTCCAGTTCGAGCTTGAGTCCAAGTACGTGTCTCAGTTTGAGTCCTAGTATGAGTCCTAGTTCGAGCCCCAGTTTTAGTCTCAACTATAGTCCCCTTTTAAGTCCCAGCTCGAGACCGAGGTCTAGTATAAACTCTGGTCCCAGTTTGTGTCCCAGTGCTCAAATCCCAGTTTGAGTCCAAGCTATAGTCCCAGTTCAAAGCCCAGTTCGAGTCCCAGTTGTAGTCCCCGCTCTAGTCTCCCAGCCTGATTCCCAGTACAAGTCCCAGTTCGAGTCCTAACTCGAGTCCCAGGTCGAGTCCCAGTTTGAGTCCCAGTTCGAGTCCCAACTCTAGTCCCCTTTCAAGTCCCAGCTCGAGACCGAGGTCTAGTATAAGCTCTGGGCTCAGTCTGTGTCCCAATGCAAGTCCCAGATCAAATCCCAGCTCAAGTCCAAGTTCAAGTCCCAGTTCGAAGCCCAGTTTGAGTCCCAGTTGTAGTCCCCGCTCTAGTCTCCCAACTTGAGCCCAAGTACAAATCCCAGTTCGAGTCACAGTACAAGTCCCAGTACGAGTCCCAGTTCGAGTCCCAACTCGAGACCCAGCTCGAGTCCCAGTTTGAGTCCCAGTTCAAGTCCCAACTGTAGTTCCCTTTCGAGTGCTAGCTCGAGACCGAGGTCTAGTATAAGCTCTGGTCCCAGTTTTTGTCCCAATGCAAGTCCCAGCTCAAATCCCAGCTTGAGTCCAAGTTGAAGTCCAGGTCGAATCCCAGTTCGAATCCCAGTCATAGTCTCCGCTCTAGTCTCCCAGCTCGAGTTTCAGTTCGAGTCCCAGTTGGAATTTCAGCTTGAGTCCCAGTTTGTCTCAGCTCTAGTCCCAGCTCAATTCCCAGTTTGAGTCTCAGTCTGAGTCCCAGCTCGAGACCCAGGTTGAGACCCAGCTCGAGACTCAGCTCTAGTCCCAGCTTGATTCCCAGCTCAAGTCCCAGCTCTAGTCTAAGCACTGGTCCCAGTTTGAGTCCCAGTTGAAGTGCCAATTCGAGTCTCAGTTAGAGTCCCAACTAGAGTCCAGGTTCGAGTCCCAGCTCGAGAAGCTCGAGATCTAGGTCTAGTCCCAGCTCGAGTCCCAGCACTAGTCCCAGCTCAAGGCTAAGTTCGATTCACAGCTCGAGACCCAGCTTTAGTCTAAGCTCTGGTCCCAGTTTGAGTCCCAGTTCGAGTCCTGGGTTGAGTCCCTGTTCGAATACCAGCTTGAGTCTGGGCTATAGTCCCAGTTCGAGTCCCAATCTGACTAGATCGTCGAACACTGCACCAAGCTTGAGAAAGCGTGACATGAACAGGAGATGTT